CCTTGATTTGTTATTGGGGGCACATCTGATCTCATAAAATTTTAGTTTCACAAATTTCTTTCCTTATCTATTTGCTGAAAAACTTTGCAATAGTCTTGCTCTGAGGATTATTTCTTCCTTAAAGTGAAATATAATTCACCAGTGAAGCCAGCTAGGCATAGTTTTCTATCTAGGAAGTGTTTTGTTTTTTAAAGGTATATGTATGAGTGTTTTGCCTGCATATATGTATGTGTAGTACATGTGTGCCTGGTACCTGCAGAGGCCAGGAGAGGGTGTCAGATCTCTCTGAAACTGAAGTCACTGATGGTTCTTAGGAGCCATGTAGGTGCTGGGAATTGAACCTGGGTCCTCTGTAAGGCAGTAAGCAGCTAGTGCTCTTAATAATTGAGTTATCTTTCAGCCCCATCTAGGAGGTTTCTAAATCATAAATTTTGAAATTAATATTTCCTGGACAAGAGATCATTATAGCCCAGAGTGCTACATAAAACCCAATATATAAGTTGAAGCTTAACTTTGAAATTTATAAATTTTAAAAAACAAGTTGATTTAAACTGTTCATAAACCCATAATTATGAAAAATGCATGCATACCCTAAACTTATACTTGTGAATCAGTGAGGCAGGCAATATATGCACATGGTAGAAAAGTGTATTTTTTTTCCTTTGTGTCCAGTGCTTATAAAACTGGCCTCAAGCATCTGCAAAGATTTGGTTTACAAAATAAAGACAGAATAAAAGTAAGTCTGTGATTAAATAAGATGTTCAGCAATTGGGTAATCAGTTTGCAAACTTGAATTTCCCCAATGAATTGTTGAGCAAACTGCCTAGAGCACATTTTCCTTTCTACTCTCTCAATGTTTTCCATAAGTAAGAAACTCACACGGTCCTTTTACCCCTGTCTCCTGGGGATTGAATCTTGGCAAATGTACTGTGTGTTAATCAGGTAAGTTTCCTGTCTCTGCCTGTTAACTGCATCCATAGCACACTTGGCTTCTGATATGAAGCAGTGTCACAATCAAGGCAGAGTTCATGACCCTTTTAGTAGTCCTTTCCTGTGTCATCTCACCACTGACTGTAAGCTTCTTTGTCCAGAAACATGCTCTGAGACTCAGTGTCAGTGACTAAAAACAGCATCCTCCTCACTCCCCAACAAAGAGGTCAGGTGAAGGTCACAGACATCTATATTCAGTGTACAATGACTGTGGCTGGGCTTATCAAGAAGGTGGAGAACAGGCTCACACACCTAGTGGACTTGACCTGATTTTTAACAGTACAGACATTTGCATCTATTGAGATGATCATCTGGTTTTTCTTTTATAATTCACAAATTTACTGGCCCCTGTATCTGGGGCTAATACTTAAATAGATGGGGAACCTGAGTATTTAAGGTTTACTCTACCTGTGCAAATCACATGTGCAGAGGATGGAAAGCTATAAACCAACTGTACCTGGGCTTCCACCATGGATATTATCTGACTTCTCTTTAGTAGTTTTACTCTCTTATTTAAAAATCTAGAAATAAATGTCAACAAATAAAAGCAAACACTAATTTATAATGGATAATAATCCAAACTTAAACAAGCAACCAGTACCCAACACAATCACTAAAAGATGACTTGGAGGGCATACAAAGAGCTCTCTGCAGACAGAGATCTGTCTGTTCCTGATGCTATCCTTGTTCTCACTGACTCCCTTCTGTAACCCACTTTTTGCTATATAAACGGCAATTATAGAGAGGACACACCACCAAAGAACTCTAGCAGAGTATCTTGAAGCATCACAGAGCTATAGGAAGGAAGAACAAGAGCCATAATCAGATGGATTCAAATCCTGCTTCTATTGCTTCACTCTTTGTGATGCTAGTCAGGTTATTTAAACTCTTTGAGCCTCAGTTTCATTTAAGGTGCAGGTTCTAATAGCAACAAAAATTACTGCAAAGATTAATCAACAATATAAAGTCAACAGCATAGACGTTCTGTTGTATCTAAGCATACATCATACGCTTAGGTTTGATAGGCTCTCACAAGCAGGTGTCAAGGCAGAACTGGACATTTCTTTGCAGATCCTCACAGAAACCATGTCCACTGTGGTACAGCATCCTTGTGCACACCCCCTGCAGGAGTGCAGTGAGCAACATGAACTACTTATGTGTATTCTGATGAAGAAGGCTTTTGAAGGTGAGGCATGAGAGATCTTATAGCCTCTATTTTTCCTTCTGTAGTTTAAATGTTTTGGGTTTTGAACTTTCCATTATTTCAAATTTGTAGGCTCAAGTTCAGTAAAGAAAAAAACATTGGTTAGAAGAAACTTCCAAGCCTCTAGGGCACTGAATATACTTTTACTGCATCACATTGAATCTAAACTCCTTTACTTTATTATCATTTAAACACAAAGAAAGAAAAATTTGAGGCCTGTGGTTTCAGAAACCTGATGTTATGTGCACGTAAGGCAATGATGAGAAGGAAAGGAACTGATGATTGCCCAATGATGCAGCAACCAGTCAGGCCAAATGGTGTATGGGAAGGAAGGAACTGGGGGGTGGAGGATGGTCTAAGACACAGAAATAATGAGAGGCACTAATCCCATTTCATGATAAGGGTATCTGAGTTTTGATTCAAGATTACTCTTTTACTACAGCTAATGGCAGAATTCTGGGTAAAAGGCAATTGCATCTTCAATTCACGTTAAACCGATGAAATTGAAAATGACTTGGAACTACTCCTCACTACTTTAGCATTGGAAAGTGGCTAAGGGCTACTTCATTTGTCATCTCCCAAATAGCATGAGGGAATGTTTTTAAGACACAGCTCTTAAATCTTGGTTCCATGCACCTCTCAGATCCAACTTGGATCCCCAAGTGAGGCCAAGTAGGAATTGGCAGACAGAAAAGTCCTCCCCTTCCCACTGGAAGCTTATACTTTTTGAAATCTCTATTCTTTTGGTCCCAGAAGAGCTGTCACAGTTGGTCAGACAACCTGTGACCCTAAACAGTCATAACTTACTGGCCTGTTATGGTTCCCACATTTTTTTTCCAACTCTGAAATTGCTTGGATTTTTTTTTTTTAAATATTGATGCTAAATTTGCAAAGTGTTTCTAACCTTTTAAAACACATCCACAAATGAAATGAAAACAGGACACACAAGAACCTGTGGAACACAATAAAGCAGCTCTAAAAGGGAAGTTTATAGACAAAAATGTTTCTATTACCCAGACAAATAAACCAAAAACAAAACAAAACAAAAAAAATCAGAGATTGCAAATAAATAGCTTAATGATGCACCTCAAGTTCTTTAAAAAAAAACAAAAAACAAAAAACAAACTCAAAAATCATTAGATAGGAAAAAAAAAACATCTAGGCAGAAACTAGTTAAATAGAAAGAACAACACAAGGGATCAATGAAAGAAAGAAAAGGAGAATTATACAGACCAGTCTCCTTGAGAATTATGGATCATGGATCTAAAATTTCTCAATAAAATCCTTGCAAATCACATTCAACTACACATTACAAAGACCATTTATGATCAGCAAGTTGGCTTCATTTCAGGAATGCCCGGTTTATTCAACATATGCAAATCAATAAATGTAATAACAGCACATAAACAGACAAGGACAGAAATGACACAATCATCTCAATAGTTGCAGAAAATGCCTTTGACAAGTTCAACATCTTTCCACGATGAAAGCCCTGAAGAAACCAGGAATAGAAGGAATATACTTCAGTGCAGTAAAGGCCATATAGCAGACCATAGTTATACCAAATGAGGAGAAACTCAAAGCATTTCCTCTAACATTGGGAAGATGCAAGGGTGTCCCTTGTCCCCATTCTTATGTAATACAGTGATTGAAGTATATACAATATACTTGAGTGAAGAAGTCTGTATGAAGCCTATCACTATGGACAATGAATACATACCAATATTCATACCATGCACTTCCTCCTCTCAAAATACAAGCGACTCCTATCTATAACCCATATTGTCCCCTGGCCTGCTCCTCAGCCCCACATTCCATCTCCTGGATGCTACCAGTGCATATACTGAGGCACAAAACCAGTCATTCCTGACTTCTGGCCTTTCCTTGACCACCACTGTAGCAACAGATGTGGTTAGTTCTACATCTAAACCGCTACTTCCTTCTAGCTCCATCTCCCAAGCTCAGGCTCCCATGATCTCCCATTAGATCACCACAACACCCTGTAGATCTGGCCTGTTTTCTCTAGAATACACTGTAGTAATCCATGCTAGAAACTTCATGGATCTGACACCACTGTTAGGTAATGTCCAGACACATGTAAGACTCTCTGCATCTGAGCCCCTACCCTGAATTTCTTCCTGCCTAAATCCCTCCGCAGTACTCTATACTCCAGTTATACTGAACTCCGTGGCACTGCCCATATATGGTAGTTTATCCACACATCCATGCCTTTGCTACCTGCTATTTGGATTCATCCTTTAGGACTCCACTAACAGCAACACAACACCAACCACCTGAACCTCTCACACAAACAAAGCTCATTGTGTTTGGGATCCAGAAAACACTTCCACTACACCCTCTTGTGACTGTCCTGTCATTTTTTAATAAGTTCAAAGCAGAGGGACTGTGTCATTCCTTCAGTTCAGTTCTAGCATTCAGCATTGTTTCTCAGTAGGTGCTTAATAAGAGCTTCTTGAATCAACAGTGGTATAGTGTATATAATTTAACAAATGATGAAGCTGAAAGCAATTAAGTGATTTGTCTAAAGTATCAAAACTACTTCAGAGAACTGGGACTAAAGTCACGTTTTGATTCTCACCCTGTGGAAGAGAGGCCAGCAGATTTTTCTGGGCGCTCCAAAGATTAGCAATTTACGTTGATACATTTAAGTGACCCTATGCGACATCTTTCTCTACCACTGACATAGAAACGGCATGAGAGTCAAGGAGCTTTTAAGTAGCCATATTCCCAAAGGCTTAGTCTTTCTATAAGTCATGGCCTGATTTCAAAGGCACATTGACCATACCTTTATCCTCGGTCACATGGCGAAGTAACTTTTCAAGCTCAGGAAGTTTCAGCAACAAGATGCAATTTGGAAACTCGTCATCCACCACAACTTGATCTAAGGGTTGATACTTTCCCTAAAGAGAACACTCCAGTCAGTGAGAAAGCAAACATTCTAATCAATAATCTCATATATAAAAATAAGAGAAAAAAGGCATTATTACCTTATGGATAACTTTATATTTAGTTCTGCGCTTGTTCCATCTAAGGAACCCCTAAAGTGTGATGGGCTCGAAGAGACCATCAGCTCCCTTTAGGAAGTGCTTGTGAATATGGGGGGTTGGTTTCAAACAGCAAGTCACTTTCCTCAAGGGTACAGTCACCACGTGAAACAGAACAAAATCCCAGGAAAGTGCAGTGAGAGAGACAGGACTTGAAAAAATGGTGGCGACTACCTAAGGATGGTCCCGCCAGTCTATGTGGAAAAGAGCTGGCTGAGGTCACAGACTGTCACATGGGCCTAGAACAAGCTCAGACAGGCCTAGAATACATACCTTCCTTCCTGTCCTCACTCCAGGGTGAAGAAATGAAAGCCCCCCACAAGAAGAAAAATGCTCAAAGTGAATCTACTCCTCTCACAGATGTCAATTTGGGCTTCCAAATTTAGATAGTAAGAGAAAATATAGATGGGGGTAAGTTTAAAGAAGGTGCAGAGAGGCAAAGGAAGGCCCAGACTGGTAAGTGTGCGATGCCTGGCTCTCAGGGGAGAGACTCACAGACTTGAGTATTCACAACCTTATTTTTCTCAGTTAGATTTAGTCTTTCTCAACTTTGATAATTTCAGAGAAGACATCTGTCCAGTGGAGACAGTCCCTTGATTTGGGATGCCAGTCTTAGGAACAGAGGTACCGTTTGTCCAGACCCCACTTCTGCTCTTCTGTTTCTGTGGCCAAACTTGTAAAGACAGTTTGGCTGATGGTTTTCTCTGGTTTTAAGGGTGAAATCCTCTCATTTATTTGGTAGCAATTGTGACACCTTGTTATTTCCTGTTAGGTTAAGAGGTGACAACAAACACCTTCACTGAACTCTCACACAGCATCCTATGGGCTCCCAGAAGGCCAGGCTGAGGATTAATCCACCTGGGTCCTGGCATAACAGCCATGGAGAAGCAGTGTCAAGTGCTGACCCTGGGTGGTACCTTTCTCCCTGACAATTTTCCTTAGAAAACATGACACATGTGAACCAACTGAACTCTCCAAATTCCTCCCTGAACTCTTTTCTAGCTTCTGATGGCAGCCAGAACTATATCTATTGCTTAGAGACACATGATTTACCAGCCTCACCACAGTGTGCCCTAAACACACTGGCTATCACAGCAGCTTCTAGATAAGGGGAATGTGAGTCAACTGAGGGACAGAACTCCTCTAACACACTGAAAGGACAGAAAGCAGAAGAGAAAAAGGAGGGCGAAAGGGGAGCCAAAGGAAAGCAGGAATTAAAACCTTAGGTCAGTTTTATTATTTTTAGTATTTATAACAACTTAAAATCTATTTAGTCACAAATAGAAATTTAAGAATGTGATTTAAAGACCAACTAAATGAACCCATAAGTATTTAATCTATATGCAAACATGAGTCAAAATATCCAGATCTCCCTAAGCAGTTTAAGTAACACTTGCTCACCTAGGTTGCAAACTCAAAGGCTTTCCAGCTGATTGATGGACACTTGAGTGCCTCAATTCCCTTTCAAAAGGTCCCCAATCTCAAAACTATATCCATAATAATTCTAAGAGGTTCCTTGCATTTCTACCATGTTAATATGATACTGGTACTTCAAGCACAATGGTGAATGAAACCCCTAGTTCTGCTGGGCAGTGACACCAACCTCCCTTAGCAGTGACCATATTCATAGTCTTAAAATGCTAGTTTCACCTATGAACCCTTGCTCAAGTAGTAAAAACAGTTAATTTTACTTAAATCTTGATCCTGAATGAGAGACTCATCATCTCTGTGCCACAGAAGTGCACTTATCTAATTACTATTGCCTCATCCTAAGGCACAGACACTATCAAGAAAAAGCCTTGTAAGACTGAGAGGGATAGGCACTCTTTGTTCCCAATGCTTTAAGTCCCAACCATAGCTTCCCTACCAGTGAGCTTTTACTAGGCATGCCCTAGTTTACCTACCTCATAGACTCTCCTGAAAGATGACTCTTCTCTCCTCTCCTTAGTGATCAACTTTGTAACATTCATAACTGAACACTTAATGGTAAAAGTTTTCATTGTTAGGCTTGGTTACCAGAAGGTACAGTGAAGGGCCACTGAAAAGTCACGGCACACAGAGTGTGCAAGCTAGGCCACAGAAAGGTCACAGCCAGTTAGAATCAAATGTGATCACAGTCAGAGTGGAGCTTCTCAGGGCTGGGGGAAGGGGAGCTCTGATGCACATGACACACTGGGGCGCATTTTCTAAGACAGCTGAAATTGTAGGGAATCTACACTTTGGATCTTCACTGTAAACACCCCAAATGGGAAACTCACCTCTTTGTCAGCCTTTATGAGATAGTGGAGGAGCAGAAACAGAGGATCCATGGGCGTGGCGAAGTGGAGAAGGCCCCCTGATGAAAAAGAGAAACCTATGCCTTAGGAGAACAACTTGGTTTTTCATCTTGATCTCAGGATGAAACCATCTGCCAGAATCTATACGAGACTCCCCAGTTCAGAAGTCTATTCTTCTGGAAGCATTCGTGTGGTGTGTGATGCTTCGGTTATGTCAACAAGGGCAGGAAACATCTTGATTTCAGTGTTCTGATTCTCCTTCACGTGAGCTTCCTCAGGTCTGACTGCCTTTAGATATCCCTCTTAAACCTGGCTTCCCTTGTAATGCAATTGGTATCTCTCAAAAGCACATGTACTCCCTGAAATTTTATTCCAAATAGCTGCAAATCCCTATGGGAAGAGAACTAAGGCACTGAAATCCACTTCTGGCCTTCCATTTCTGCTTTGGAATCATTTTCTACAGAGCCTCTTGGGTGACATAGAAGTGTACACAAGTACAGAGAGCCAGGGAACCGCAGGAAGCCTGTGCCCGTCAGTCAGTCTGTCTAGAAAGTGTCAGTAGAAAGACCCTCTTGTACCTAACAAGCACAATATCTGGGATGAAGCTTCTTTTTAGCAGGGCTCATGGAGTGCAAAGGACAATGACTGAATGCACCCCTGCGCAGTCCATCACTCCAGATGATATCCCACTCTGGAAGAAAAGCAAGTGGGCAGCAACCCAATACAAGTCAAGTGGAAGCTCTGTCCTCCAGATGGGAAGGAAAAAGATGGGTCGTGCCTCTCTTTCCTTTATGAAATCCCCTTCCAAATCCCAAACTCCTCTACCCACAGACTTGAATTAGGAAAGGCACATTCATTAATGAAACTAAATAAACAGTTCACACACCTGCACCCAACCTTTTAATTTTGGTTTTGGGAAAGACATGTGCTTACTTTTAATACTTTAACACAGCAACTTACCTATACAAGCATGAAATTCTAACCCTAAATCATATGTGTGTGTGTGTGTGTGTGTGTGTGTGTGTGTATCTGTATGTGTATATATAGTAAGAAAAATAAGAAGTAGCTCTATTTGACTACTTTGAAAAGTAGCTTATGCAAATAACCTATCAGAAGTTCTAAGCCCATTTACATGCTGCATCCATCATTTCTGAGTCAAATTATGATATCCTGGTAGCTATGACTAGTCTTAAAAACAGCTTTTTAAAAAAATATATTTCAAAATATATATTTTATTTACTTATGTGTATGAGTGTATTGCTTGCATGGAGGTACATGCACCCATGTCATGGAGTGCCTGCAGAGGTCAGAAGTGTGTCTAATCTCCTGAAACTAGAGTTACGGACAGTTGTTAACCATGTAAGTGCTGGGAATCAAATCTGGGTCCTCTGCAAGAGCAGCCAGTGCTCTTAGCCATTGAGCCATCTTTCTAGCCCTTAGGGAATACTTTTAGAAAGAAGACAACAGGTACCTTTGCTGTAAAATCTGAAACTATTCTTTTAAAAAAAAATCTATGAGATAGGGGTTAGAGAGATAGCTCAGCAGTTAAGAGCACTGGTTGCTCTTGCAGAGGACCCGGGTTTGGTTCCTGGCACCCACATGACAGCTAACAACTGTCTGTAATTCCAGTTCCAGGGGAATCTAACACCCTCTTCTAGCCTCTGTGGTCATTGCATGCACGAATGAACTTACATATATGCAGGCAAAACACTCATATACATAAAATAAAAATAATAAATCAAGCATTTTTTAAAAATGAGAGAGAGAGAGAGACAGAGAGAGAGAGACAGACAGAGACCAATCAACCCCCACCCCGACAATCTAGGACAGTTGCTCAATCACTGCCTCCCAATATTATCCAGTTTCCATCTGGATGTTTTTATACCTATTAGGTAATTCCAACTACAAGTGTGTTATGTCAGAGGCTGAAACGCTTCCTCGTTGCCTAATGAATACTTAACATCAGCAACAATGAAAGGGAATACTTTCCACCAATCACAATACACAAAAACTATTGCATTTTTTTTAAGATTTATTTTTGACTTTTTATTTTTATTTATGTGAGCATGTGGGCATGTATGCACACATGTGAATGCAGGTGTCCACAGAGGTGGGAAAAGGGCACTGGATCTCCTAAAGCTGGAGTTATAGGTGGATGTAAGTCCTAAGTGGGTGCTGGGAACTGAACCAAGTCTTCGGCAAGAGCTGAAAGTGCTGTTAACCACTGAGCCATCTCTCCAGCGCTACAGTTGTATTTTGGCAACTAAAAGCTGCTTCAAACTCCTCAAGCACATAAGTGCCTGAGATCTATTAGGAGCAATAATCCTTCCATGTGAAGGTCTTAGAAGGCGAGCTAAATGGCCTCCTCACCTTTGCACCAAGAGGCTAACAGGAGCCCATGGAAATCAGGACACAGGGAAGCAGAAAGCATTTTTCAGAAGTGAGGAAGTGGCACCAGGAGAGCCTCAGACATCCTCCCGCCACTCCACCCCAGCAGCCCTGGCACATGCATCAGAACCCTGAAACACTTTCCCAGAAACACTTTCCCCTGAGTTTACAACTCTGGTGATATAGATACATGTATGTATATGGGACAGAGGGAATGGTATACTTCCTGGAACGTTCCCTAAATGTCCATGAGTCAAAAGTTTGTTCCCCAGAGAAACACTGGAAAGCTGTGGGAACTTTGGGAGGTGAGTGGGATCCTGGTCTCTTCCTCTTCCTCTCTCTTTTCCTGGCCATCAAGTATGTGGTTTGCCACATGCTGCAACCATGATGTGCTACCTCACTCCAGGCCCAGAAACAATGGGGCCAATGGACTGAGGACTAAAACTTCTGAAACTGTGAACCAAAGTATATCTTCTCTTCTGATGCTGACACTTTCAGGTACTTATTGTACAACAGTAATAGAAAGCTTGGTAAAGAAGGGACAGTACCTTACATGACAACACATTTTTAAGAAGTTGTTATTTTAGAGGTTGGATGAGTATGCTCAAGGAAATGGATGTTCAAAACGTGAAGATCCTCTAAAGAAAGCATTTCTGGGGCTGGAGAGATGGCTCAGCGGTTAAGAACACTGGCTGTTCTTGCAGAAGACCTGGGTTCGAATCCCAGCAACCACATGGTGGCTAACAACTGTCTGTAACTCCAGTCTCAGGGGATCCAATAGCCTCTTCTGTCCTCTGTGGGCATTGCACGATACGGGTGCACTTACCTACATGCAGGCAATACACACATATACATGCAAGCAATACACACATATACATAAAATAAAAATAATAAAAATATTTTAAAAGTTTAAAGAAGTGGCCAGGTGCAGTGGTGCACGCCTTTAATCCCAGCACTCAGAAGGCAGAGGCAGGGGTATCTTTGTGAGGTTGAGGCCAGCCTGGGCTCCCTAGCAAATCCAGGCCAGCTGGGGCTATAGGGAAACCCTGTCTCAAAGAGACAAAAAAAAAAAAAGTTTAAAAAAAGTTAAAAAAAAAAAAAAAAAGCATTTCCAATGCACTTTATATGCACACTGTCATAGTACAAAGGTAGTGGAACTTCTGTCAGAGGGTGTGCTGGTGTTTTAGGAGACAGACCATAATTGTTAGTTTAACAGAGTGACAGCCTAACTTAGCTTATCTTTTCTTTCTCCTTGAGTAAAGCCTCTGACAACTAGGAAAGTTCCCCAGTGACCACACTCCAGAGCAGGCAGATAGATCCACAGACCCATGAGAAGGATGGGAAGGCTGAAGTATGTGCTGTTGGTTGGAAAATGTGTCACTTACCTGATTGAACTGACTGATTTATAAACCAAGAGTGGTGTTTTTCCTTGAAAACTTTGATTTCAAACAGCTGCGGTAGACACATATTGAACAAGTAAATGACTCCTTCCCCTGAAACACAAATCTGGTTTTTATCTAGGTTTTCTCACACACACATATGCACATCAAAAACCTGTCCAACAGGAACATAAACGTGCATAGACAGGCTCTATTCCAACTGACTCCAAAAAAAGCTTATGGGTATCAGACATTTCTTCTCCCAGCACATCAGACATTTCTTCTCCAGCTCTATAATCCTCACTGAACTTACCCAAACCATAAAAGTGAAAAGTGCAAGTCATTTACCTTAACCATTACAAACCCTCTCACTGAATCTGCCATCAGATCAGAGGAAAAACCCATTTCTGGACTACCAAACCCTAATGGTTCAGACATGTGCCTGAGCTAGCTGCCCCTTGCCAGTGAGCTCCACACATAGGAGGTAAGACAGGGACTAAGCCCTCGGACTCCACAGGCCAAGCTAATGAGAAATGCAAGGGCACGCCTCAAGCCTGGTGACTAGATGGAATTTTTCATTTTATTCTTTTATAAAGGGGGGTGGGGAGGAGGCTGGGGACACAGCTCAGCCAGTGGTAGAGCACTTGCCTATCTTGTGCCAGGTTCAGGGTACCATCCTTGGTGACTCAGCTGTTCAGGGACAGAAGGGAGAAGCCTGTGTGCATATCTGATGTTTTATCCCCTTAACTCATGAAAATATTTTCCCAACCACAGCACAATCTAGGGAGTGAAAGACCCTAAATTCGAATCTGTCTTCAGCACACAGTGGGCGCGCACCATTGGAGAAGTCATATAAAGCTTTTATGCCTCTGCTTCTGCATCTGTATACATGGCAATGTCAAAGCTACCTCACAGTGCTTTCTATAGGGATTGGGGGGGAAAAAAACAACATGTAAATTCCTTAGAACACTACCTAGTACAGAGTAAGTGCTCAGCTTACCCCTTATTTTTTCATTGTCAATACTGCAAATAAAAATATCTGTTGCTGGGTTGTCTAGATAAAACTGAAGGTTTAGGAGAAGCCTGGCTTTCTTTTGTTAAACACCAGAACATTGCGGCCACCTAAAACTTCTCTTGAAGAGTGATTTCTCATATCAACCGAGGCTTAACCAAAACTGAGTTCCAAATAATATAGCTCACCAGACACATTCAGTCTCCTTTTGAGGAAAAATGCTGGAGGAAGTGGGGTTGTTTTGTTTTACTCTCTCATTGTTTCCCACAAGATACTCAGTACTCATTGCCTTTCCCTCATTCACCACTGAGTTGTACAGTCACCAGGTGATAACTCCAACCTCTAAGCATCAGGCCATCTACTTAAACCCGTAAATGTAGTGGAAAACAACCCAGAGATTAAAAAAAATCCCAACGCACTCATGGCCTAGTACATTTTAATATTTCTGTCTCAAAATTAGAAAACAGAACTGAAAATATATGGAATATAAAGTTAAAATAGTTTCCCAATAAAATATGAATCTATTCAATATATAATGCTTTTAATTAAAAAAAGAAAACATTCTCTGAAAGGAGGAAAATATTTCTCTTTGGTCAGAATAAAGGAAAGAAAGAACAGCTAAAAATGAAACTAATCAAAATCTTGGCATGTCAAGGAAAAGCCTTCTGTTTTTTTCACTCTGGCTGTTTATTTTACTTTATAACACAAAATGAATATAAATGCAGGCTAATGTTGGAGAACTATTCTAAGAAAAATGGGCTTAAGAAAGCCAAAGACAACACCTCTGTTTTCAGAAAGAACTCAAACATGCTACTTTTTTGTTTTGCCAATGTTTCTAATGACCGAAAAGTGCTGTGGATTAAAATTTTAAGCAGTGCTTTTTAAAATATTTTATTTATTATTTTTATTTTATGTGTATGAGTATATTGCCTGCACATAGGTAAGTGCACCCATGTCGTGCAATGCCCGTGGAGAACCGAAGAGGCTCTCGGATCCCCTGGAACTACTGGAGTTATGCACAGTTGTAAGCTGCCATGTGGTTTCTAGGATTCGAACCCGGGTCTTCTGCAAGAACAGCCAGTGTTCTTAAATACTGAGCCATCTCTCTAGCCATTAAGAAGTGTTTTTAATGTGAAAGCTCAAATGAATTATCTGGGAAGACTTAGTAACGTCATTAGCTTGCTCTTTATCCCCCTAGGATGCCAGCTGCACTTTGAAAGTTAGGAAGATGGCACACAGGCACACAGATACCATGTACTCTGATCAGCCACAAGCTTAAGAACATTCCAGAAGGTAGGAGATGAGAGGCAAGGGGAAACTTACCTGAGCATGGGTTAGCTAGTTTTACAAACATCAGACCACTTTTCATTTTCTTTGAAGTATCTTTCAAATACTCTGTAAAGAAATGGTGAATTTATGAAAATGAGGGATTTTCTCTGTTGCTCCATCACTTTACCCTGCTTTCTTCTACTTACATGATTTTCTTTCTAAAAATTTTAATCTGTCACTTATGAGCTGTGTGATCTTCAGTAAATGATTATCTGAAGCTGCAATGTGATTTCAGTCTTTGGGAATGGAGGAGGGGATCCAGGATTACAGCATAATGACTATTATTATTATTTTACAAAGTACACTTAAAAATAAACATTTACTTGACATTTGTGGTTTTCATTCTTACTCCAACAAAATAATCATGTCCTCGCTCATTTTTCTACTGGGGTTTTCAATCTCTTTTTAAAGATGACTTTATGAGTAGTCTTTGTGCAGTAAAGATATTAACTGTATTTTAGCACTTTTAATAATTATCTTTTTGCCATATTAAAGATAGAAAATCTTTGTGTATGGGGCTGGAGAGATAGTTCAGTGGGTTAAGAGTACTGGCTATTCTGGCAGAAGACCCGGGTTCAATTCCCAGCACCCACATGGTAGCTAACAACCGTTTGTAACTCCAGTTTAAAGGGATCCAACGCCCTTTTCTGACTTCTGTGAACATTGTATGAAATGGGTGCACTTATAAGCATGAAGGCAATACATTCATATACATAAAAAATAAAAATAACCAAAAAGATTATTTTTTAAAAAGAAAATCTTTGTGTAGGTGAGTATAGCGCAGTGAGGAAAAGCACCCTGTGGTTAAGCCAGACCTGAGTTCGATTCCCAGGTCCCACATAGTGGAAGGAGAGAACTAACTCCAAAAAGTTATATTCTGACTGCCATAAATGTACAGTGGCAAGAGTACATGCAGACATACACACACACACACACACACACACACACACACACAGAGTAAATAAATGTGTAAAAATTCTTAAAAATAATTTTTTAATTACATATTGTTTTCACTATGTTTATAACCCTTGTGTCATACTTAGAAAGCTATCTTCTTCAAAAGTACATACATTTCCTGTATTTTCTGTGGATTTAAAAATATATTTTATTTGTTATTTTTATTTTATGTGTATGCATGCATTGCCTGCATGTATGTAAATGTATCCACGTATTCAATGCCTGCGGAGGACAAGAGAGGGCGGTGTCAGAACCCCTGGAACTGGAGATACAGACAATTGCTAGCCACCATGTGGGTGCTGGGATTCAAAACTGGGTCTTTTGAAATAACAGCCAGTGCTCTTAACTGCTGAGCCATCTCTCCAGCCCCACCTGTGGTTAAATTTTAAGTTTATAATTTTAACCTATTCAGATTATGCCTTAGGCATGAGAAATGGGAAAGAAATTGAAAAGTTTCCCTGATGGGTTGGTCAGCCATATCAACATCAGCCAAGTATGCTCATCAAGAAAAATCTTTCCTAAATATTTAAAATACAGGCATAGCCACCAGCTTTCTGGGGCCAGCTTCTTTCTTGGGTAAGTTCAGCTGCACGCCAACTGCGCCTTGCCCCCAGCCTCATTCAGCCTCCCAGCTCCCCAACCCAATGTATCCTCCTAGTGTGGGCACTGGCCTATTTCTTCTGGCATCCCAGACCTTTGAACTGCCCTCTTGGCCCAGACTCCCCTCCCCACTGCTTCCTGCCCTTTGTACCCACACCAATCCAGTTCCAAGGTCTAGTCCCCGAGAGACCTGGGGGCCTTTCATTCCCCCTCTCTGCCCCCAACCTTGCTGTTGCATGCCTAAGAAAGGCCCTGGTCGTAGACTAGCCCAGTCCCCAACTTCCTGAGGACAGCATCTTTCCTGGAGGGATCTGAACTTTAGGAGAAAGCCTGAGAGCATCGGATCCTCCTCCAACTTGAGCCTCTGTGGGAACTCTTGAGCAGCAGGATGAAAGCCATCTGGACCCTCTAATATAAAATCAAAGGAGAGAACCTGAAGCCTAGACCAACCAGCTTTTCATGCCCAACAAGTAAACCACAATGGCACATAAAGTTTACAAAAAGCAGCAGACCTAAACTCAACAAAGGAAGGCTTAAGTCTCACACAGGAATCAGAAACTACAAAAGAAATCCACGTCAAAGTCACAGCAAAAAAATAATAACATGAAAAACCAAAATAATATATCCCTGCCAAATACCAACTGTCCTATAGAGGAGTACAATGAGAATCCCCTAGAGATAATACAGGACATGTAAGTCAAAAGAACAATTATAAACATGATAAAAGAATTCAGTGAATTTAAAGAACACACAAATCAATCAAAGAAATCAGAGAACTGAAAGGAGATAGGGACAAACTTTTGAATGAATTCAGAAAAGAGTTAGAAATATTGAAGATTACTCAGGCTGAAATGAAAGATTATGAAAAATTTAAGAAAACACAAGAATGTAATATGTAGGAATTGTGTGACACCATAAAAAGACCAAACACACATCATAGGCATAGAGGAAGGAGGAGAATCTCAGGATAATGGTATGGTCCAGATCTACAACAGGATTGCAGAAGAAAATTTCCCCAAATTAAAGAAAGACATTCCCATACAAATACAACAAGCATATAGAATACTAAATAAACAGGACCAGAAAAGAAACTCTCCGCAGCACATCATGTAAAAACACTAAATGTACAGAACAAAGAGAGAATACTGAAAGCTGCAAAAGAAAAACAAGTCACATATAAAGGAAAACCCATTAGGATTACAGCTGACTTTTCAGTGCAAACTATGAAAGCCAGAAGAGCCTGGACCAAAGTAGTCCTGCTTCTAAATGACCACAGATGCCAACCCAGATTACTTTACTCAGAAAAAATGTCTATTATAGTTGAAGGGGAAAGAAAAATATGCCACGACATAAATAGGCTGAAAGAATTCATGTCCACAAAACTTTCAAAGAGTTCTTGAAGCAATACAAAGAGTTGAAGAAAGGAACGACTATACCCAAGGAGTAACAGAAAGAAACTTAATGAAGGTATAACTGTGGAAATGCACAGTCACACCAAGACTGCGAACAGAAATCAAAATGACAGGAATCAATACACATCTTTTGTTAATAACTTTAAATATCAATGGACTGAACTCCCAATCAATCGACACAGACTAGGTAAATGGATTAAGAAACAAAACCCATCTTTTTGTTGTCTACAAGAAACCCAACTCACTTTCAAGGACAGGTATTACCTTAAGGTGAAAGGATGGAAAAAAATATACCAAGCAAATGGTACTAAGAAAAAAGCAGGCATTACAATTCTTGATAAGACTTTAAACTAAAACTAAGAAGAGATAAAGAGGGCCACTTCATTCTCATAAAAGGAACAATAAACAAAGAAGATATTACAATCATGAACATATATTCACCAAACTCTCGTGCACCCAACTTCATAAAAACAGTACTATAGGAATTTAAGACCCAGATTAATCCCAACACATTAATAGTAGGGGACTTCAATACCCCATTGTCTCCATTAGCTAGGTTAACAGGGCAGAGATGTCAACAGAGAGACATCTGAATTAAACAATACCATAGAAATGGGAAAATGGACAGCAGACCCCAATCTTATCTAAAGGAATGTTGGCAACTGATTGCTGCTAGATATGAAGAGCTGATCTTCCTAAAACAAGGAACTGTAGATAGGCTGAGTAGACTCAGAGGATGGACTTGCTCTGGGTAATGGCTGGAGGCACTGATAACACAGTGGACAGTAACAGGGATGACAGAGTATATGGACTCCCGTGGGGAGGTGGGGGAGGCTATGGGAGGGTGCCATTTCAGATGCGGGTATAAAAATGAATAAGATTATTTGGGATGTTCTGTATGAAATACACACAAAAAAATCTATAAATAAAAACTAATAAAAAAAATAAGGCCAGGAAAAAATATTTAAAATACATTTTGGGGGGCTGGAGAGATGGCTCAGCAGCTAAGAGCACTGACTGTTCTTGCAGAGGATCTGGGTTCAATTCACAGCGCCAACATGGCAGCTAAAAACCACCTGTAACTCCAGTTCCAGGGGATCCGACATCCACTTCCGGCCTCCACCAGCACTGCGTGACACAGGTGCAATTATATACATGGAAGCAATACACTCACACACATAAAAGAAAAGTAATAAATCAAATATTTTTCAAAATACATTTTGGGATCTGTCTGTAGACATTTTACTTTGATCCGCTAACCTGTGTCTGTATTACCAGTACCTCAATATTCTAAGTCCTATGGATTTAATTTTAATATATAGTAAGGCAGGCTCCTGCATTAGGTTTCCTTTACAATATTTGAGTGTCAGGCTTTAATTACACAGATCAACCATGAAGACCAGGATGACCTTGTCAACACACTGTAAGTGGCACAGTCAGAGCTCTTTTCAGAGACAAAGGACCTGGTTCTAGGTAATGAGGCAGCACAGCAGTCCACACCAGAGCAGGCCCGAGGAGGCTCTTTGTTTTTCTATGGCCTCTACTCCTGTAATTCCACTTTGGATCTACATATACATGTATGCATCAGGCTGAGAAAACTGGCTTACCCATAAACAGAATAGAACTTTTTTCTATTTTCAGAATTAGTTTTGAATATATTTGAATGTTGAATACATAAAGAAAAAATAAACTAATTTTAGGGTTTTATATTTCAATTAAGAAAGAGTAACAAGAAATCACCACCACCAGACAAAACATAAAGTGAAGTAGAACAGTGAGCCCAGGATGGCCCCAGCTTGTTGCCTGGAGACACTTTCCAGGCCAGGTAAAGCTGGCTGACCTGCTGAGCTGAAGTGATGGAGCTGAGCATTCCAAAGACAAGGTAACAGAGTCCCAGTGAAGAAGGCTGATAAGCCATGGAGTACAGCCAAGTGCAGCAGGCTCTTCTAGAATATTCAACAAAGAACTGCTCAGTGCCTCCAGGAACAAACACGAGAATGTACCTCACACTCAGTCAGAACCCTATTCCTCCTTCTCCCTAGGTATAGTGCTGCTCAGTAGTGGCAGCAATTAACTCAGACTAAAAGCTGCTCCAGC